CCTTTCGAGAGGGCTTTGCGCTGCGCAGAAGAAGAGAGCGACAGCGAGCAGGGCCCTGAAAAGGCCTCCAATGGAAGACAGCCTGCCAGCTTCTTGGCACCATGAGTGGCGCGAGCTTGTGGCCTGGGGTCCGTGGCTTCAGCGCAGCGGTGAGCGCCTGCGCCGCTCAGACCTGGAATGACAATGCAGCATCTACGGGGGAGATGTGTGGAGTTTGGCTCGGATGCGCTCCAAGGAGAAGTGCAGCATGTGGGTAGCTGCACTGTCTCTGCTGGCGGCCATGAGAAGTGAAGAGGTGGCCCCCAACTCTGTGACCTGCATTCCGGCTCGCATGCAGTATCGCAGTAGTAGCATCCAGTAACAGTCCATGCTGCTCACTGGTGTTTCACGAGGTAGCGCAGCCATTGCTGCATGCTCAAAAGCTGGGCGTGGCCACGAAGCCTGGGCTCTACTGGAATCCATGGAGGTGCGGGAAGCGTGGGCAGTCTGTGCTTGAAAGTGTCGACTTGATTCACCCGATCGATCGACAGCTGAGCCTTTGCCTTTAGGAACTAGGGAATAAGAATTTGGAATAAGAATTAGGCGACTAGGACTAGGAATTAGCCGATTAGGAATGAGCCAATTCGGAATTCGCCGACAGGAAGTAGCAGGAATTTGGCGAGTCTGGTCTGGCACGAAATCTGAAAAATGAAGGTTTTTCTGCACAATGCCAAGCTGGCAGTGAGGTGCAAGTTCCCACAGATGTGGCTGCCTTTGGTGCGGCCGCTTGACGATAGAGAAGGCTGAACCACCTTGTGCCGCGTGGAAGTGTACTGAGACTTATCGATACTCGTTGCGCACAGCCAGATCTCAAATGATCTCACGTCGCGCGCCGAGGCGTGCTGTGCCCTGAGCCCCAGTGACTGGGCGCTCGTCATGCAGATGTTCCTGCGGATGGAGCAACAAGCTGTTGAACCCGACGCAGCTCTTTGTGCCAATGCTTTGGAAGCCTTAGAATCGAAACCTGCGGCTTTGTGGGCAGTGGCACTGCCGCAGCGCACGCTCTGCAGCACATGGGCACAGCTTCAGCGCGTGAGGGGGACCCTGCGAAGCAGCAGGGATTCGCAGCAGGTTGCTCTGAAGAAGGACGGAACGTGCTTGGCGAGTGCACACTGGCAACCACACAGCAACAAACGCCCGCCCCCGATGCGAGAGATGTGTATAGTGTTCATTTCCGTTTTGCTCTTCGTCTCAAGTAATACTGGGAGATATGGAAGGCCAGGCATTGCCACTCTGGAGACGCGCAGTCTGATTCTTTTGCTGCCTAAAATCGGGTCTTACTGCTTGTTCCTCTCGAGGGGCATCCTGCAGGACTTGGCCATGGCTGCTGTGGCAATGGATACGCTCGAGTGCTTGGATGCTTGCCAGGGCGAGGCAAGGCCCAAGACTGAGGTGCAGCTCCTGGGTCATTAAAGTGCGCTCAGCCCCTTAGAATCCTAGAGTCCCTTCAGATCATGGCAGCCTTTGCCTCGATCGCAGCCTCAGCGAAGCGCGGCCTGTCTGGACGGTTCGGCTTCGATGCGATGCCACTTTCCTGGCTGCCAAATCTGGGGTCGTGTGCCTACAGATGTCCTTTGTCCTTGACATTCCCGAAGATTGCTTGTAAGCAGGAGAAAGAAGCTGTCTGGCTCAGGAGTGTTCACACGAGGCGCGTGCTGGAGGCGTCGAGCACGCGGTCGGAGCAAACACCTCCGTTCCTGCTGTTGAAAAGAGTTGGAACCGCGAACTCATCAGGTTCTGTGAAGCTGCACTTGAGTGAAGGACTTCCATCTTCTGGGAGATGATCACTGGCTGGGGACTGCGCGAAGGGAAACCAGGAGGGAGACCCGCGCGGCAAGGGGGCTGCTAGCTTTGGGAGCGATGCTTGGATGAATCAGCTTCCTCTGCTACTCCCATTGTGTCGGCTCTGCTTGGCTGAGAGGCAGGAGATGGTAGGAGTCAGTACAGGTACATATACCTGCATTGCACTGCCATAAGACATGCCTTGCCGAGGAAGTCGCTGACAGCATGGGCAAGCGCTTGGTTTGCTTCCAAGGAGGCAGATTCGTGATGGAGCAGATTGCGCATGGTAGCTTTGTGCTCGAGACGTTTGGCAGCTCTCAGTGCAGGGGACCTTCTCGCGCAGCATCGGTCACAGTGACAGAAGGGGAAGGGGCAGGGGCCTGGCGCTGCTGCCGCCAGCAACATGGCACCAAGTGGCACTAGAAGATTGAATAGTGTGAGGGGTTGAAGGCAAGGCACAAGTGTATTCATCAGCAATCGCATCGATTTGGGATGCTTTGGCGGCTGCTTCACCATCAATCAAACCACGACAGAAACTATTCCAGGGAGTCGGACTGCCACATGTCTGTGCCTACACTACCATAGTGCATGATGGTGCATGCGAGCCCTTGTATTGGCCAAGTGCGTGAGAGAGCAGTCGACTTGTCTGCCCAGGTTCGTGCAGAGCATGACCGGTCCACCCATGCAGAACGCCAGGCGTTGCATCTTGATTGCAAGAAGACTGGAAGCAGCTGTCGCCCTATCGACCTATTTGATCTATTTGTCAGTCTGCGGCAAAGTGCACCGGATTGAGGTTGTCGCTTCTTCTTGGCCTGACTCGTTCGAGCAGACTGGACAAAAGGCAAACTCAATATTGCGTGGAGAAATCAGACGGACCGAATGCTACAAGCGGAAACGTCAACTAAGAGCAGTCGGTCCCTGAGATCCATCAGATTCTGTCAATCTGCTGGCTGCTCTGAGGTCGAAAGCAGCTTGTCCAGGCACGGCTTCTCATCGACGCCAAAGGCCAGAAGCACATCTTGATCCCAGATTCTAGATATTGCTGCAAGTTATGTTATGGTTATGCTTATGTAATCTCATGTTCAGGTTCTGTTCTGTGATGTCAGCGAGATTTGCCACCAGCTTGCCGATTGAACTAGTCAGACGGAATCTAGATGACGCTCACATGGTTTGTTCCCGTCAGATAGTAAGCACAGCTTCTTTCATGCACAGCTCGAAAGGAGGTTTTGCGTGAAAAAGCTTGAAAGAGCTGGAACTTCACAGCTCACGGTTTTGGAGCTTTGGGCTTTGATGGCGCTAGCTTTGTGCTACCGAGCCGCCTCAGTACCGGCTTGACTGTTGCTTGTTTTGCCTCACCACTCACCATAGCTTAGTCAAAGTGTGGCTTAAATTCGACGCATTCTAAACAGTCTTCATGTAGTAGCTTACTGCGGGGCATGCGGTCGCAGAATGTGTTGGAGAAAGCAAGTTGACAGGTCTGGGGTTACAAGCTCTTCGTCACCGTGCTATGATTAAGCAAATCATGCCCCCGGCCAGAAAGAAGCTTGACACTGTGTCTCATGATCTTGTACATGATGAAGAACCCACAGCTCCACATGTTTCTGTGCGCATCCAAGTTCCACCGGGAAGAACAACTTCCCGGAGGTGCCCTACAAAGAGAGAAGCAGAAGGGCAAAGAGCAAGTGTGTCAGAGTTTGCGGCTCCTTTGCTGTCGGGGCTTAGCAACGCAGCCCGTCTGCCTTTGGCTGTGCATGACCCTGTAGCAAGGTGAACGTTTCGGTGACCATCATCCGTGCTCCATACATATTCGCCAAACTCTGGGGCCTGGCACAAAGCCACCTGACGCCGGCCATGCCGGGGTCCCAGGCGCCGAACTCCCCAAAGTAGCGAACACCTGAGGAGAAACGCCCGAAGGGTCCTCAAGCCTCAACAATTCTTCCTCTCTGGTGGAAGCAGTCAAGTCCCTGCTTGAAGTGACACTGGAGCCTCGCCCAAGCTAAGCATGATAAAACATGTTCCCACCTAAAGTGTTACAGAGGGCTGTTTACGAGCATGGAAAGCTTCGTGCACTACCTGAGGCAGCGAAAGATCTGCATACTCGGCGAAGATTTTGTGGGTGGGTTGCAGAAGCATGCCGGATTGGAGCAGTGCATGCTCCCTGCATTTCTCGGAGGACTAATCTTGCCCTCTGCGATTCTCACGATTGCCAGAGAGTTGCGTTTCAAAACGCTCGCGAGGACAAGGCCGCGCCGAAGAGCTTTGCGACGCGAGACGGGTTCCACCACACCTGGCAGAGGCCTGCAAGAGGATCTGTGCTTCGATTTGAGGTGACATGTTGCTTTGCTAGGTTGGTAGAGACAGCTGATGCAAACGGACGGCATTCCGTGATGCCTGGAATCGGGCCATCTTTCGGCGTATGTTTGTGGTCCTGCCACATCTCATGAGCTTGCCGTGCAGCAAAGCTCTGCATTTTTCCGCTTGCTACTCAATAAGGGACGTTCTGCAATGACGAAATGGTGCTGGAAATGTGTCGCCGCTGCGCTCATCTGAAAATCATCGGGCCTTTATGACAGTTCTTGCGGTTGGTATTTAGCAGAAGCATAGCGCAAAGTGCAAGCATGGTCCCTGCCGCCTGAAGTTACCTCTGCTGGCAGCATGTCTTGACAGCCACTAGCCCAAGTCCAGCCGCGTGGGCTTGGACTGCAGCTCCCTTTTCTAATTCTTTGTTCTGCAAGGGAGAGCTGAGCACAAGGATGAAAGAAAGGATTGGAATGGATCTGGCAATGATTCTGAGGAGGACTTGAAGGGAATGCGGGATTTGAAGTGATTGGCTCCCGCAGCCCTGGCGAGATTAAGAGATCATGACCGGGATTTGCAAACTCGACCGTGCTTGCACGAAGGGGAAAGGATGAGTAGGGCTAAACACATGAAACGAGCCACTAAAGAGGGTCCGGACCTGGGCTGCCCCAGTCAGGACTTGCTTTTGGGCCTCTCTTCAATAATGGGATAACGACACTTGAAGCCAAAATGTTAAGAATCGCGCGATTTGAAGGTTCACATCTTACCTCACCTGAGAAATGGCATAGACGGGCCGGCGAAACTTTGGGCTTGAGGCGAAGAGCCCTGAAATGGCCTTCATAAGCGAAGCGGCATGTTTATCCTGGTCGCTGTCTTCCGAGGTAGACCTTCGCTGCTCTGACAAAGGCAATGTGCAGGCGTCCGTTCTGCAGGCAAGTCGAGGTAGTAGCGTTGCTGAGTTGCACACCGTTCTGCACCTCTTCATTTTGCACTTGCCAGTCTTTCATTCGACGGGCTGATGCGCCGTAGCCCAAGCAGCAAGTGGAACTGCCAACTCACTTGTGGATTGCTGCCCGAAGCAAATCAGCAGTCGGAAGCACGCGAAGGTTAGGACCGACTGTCTTCTCGTGCTTTCTACATGGTGCTGTCATGGCAGGGGGTAGGCTCTGCAAGATGCGTGTCTGCGGCACAGTGCCGATAAGCGGATGTTTTGTTCTATGTGTTCTTGAGGGCAGGCCAGATCACATAAGCCGATGTTCGCGGGACCTGCTCCTGGCTCTGGAATTCATTTCTGCGGCGTGCGGCGCAAGCCATGTGCACTTGCACAGCTTCTTTGAGAGTGACTCGGCCACACTGGAAGAGCCTGTGTTTGCCTTGAACTGAAGTTTCCCTTGATGTTTTGGTACTGACAATTGAAGTATGAACCGAGGCAAACTGAGTGTCAGCTGGCATGTCTGCAGTTCCTGTATGCAGGCGCCCGCTTTGGGAAGCTGATGGGCATGACTTGCGGGATCTTGCGGGCGGTTAGGCGTGAGGCGAATCCAGTTGCTAGCTCGGCTCCGCTACCTTCGTCAACTCCTGGATCAGTGAATGCACTGTGACTGCAAGACATACAGTAATACAAGACTTACCTAATGAGGACTTGCCCTGTGCAGACTGTAGCCTTCGATGCAAGTAAAGTATTTTGAGTGATCTGCATGTGCCGTGCTCCTTTGCCATGGCCGATTTGTCCGCGTTGCTAAAGAGCCAACATGAAGAAGTTTTAAGTCGCTTCAATGAGCTCACTCTCCGAGTAGAGCAATTCTTGGATGCGAGGGCCAGAGAGGTTCCGGGAGTGGACTTTACCAACAGTGTCGACACCCTCACGTCTGACTCTGCGGACAGTTCTGTGCCTTTGCACAGTGAAACTTACTTTGCTATTCCTCCGCAGGAACCCGATGAGCAAAACGCACAGCCAGATGCTTCAGCTGCTTCAGGGCAGGCGACGCCGGTCAAAGGCTCAGGGTATGCCACGCCGCTGAGAGGTTCGGGGCAGGTAACGCCAGTGAAAGGGCGCCGAAAGGCGATCCATGACTACGTAGAGGCGAAGGAAGAAGGCTACCGTGTGGAAACCCTGAAGAGAAACCATTCGGCAAATGTTGCCCTGCATTCTGATCAGCGACGGTCGGCCATGATACTACAAGCCTGTATCTTGCCTGCAATTTGCGGAACGGATGTGTTTGTTTGTTTGTTCGTCATTGCGATGCATTGTGTGTGTGTGCTGTCGTGACAGATAGGCTCTAGGCTGTATGAGTCCTTTGCACATCTGTGCGCTCAGGCCAGCGCTGGGCCGAAGTTGTGTCCAAATCTATTGCTTTCAATGTGGCTGTAGCTCTCGTGATCATCTCAAATTCCATGTTTCTCGGACTACAGCTTGAAGTCAGTGTTCATGACGCGGATGGCTCGACGGCAAGATGGTTCCTGCTGGGCCACTTTTGCTACGCCATTCTATTTTCCTTGGAGATGGTCGTGCGAGTGGTTGCACTGGGGCCTCGGGGCTTCTTGTGTGGGCCTGACTTCGCATGGAACTGGCTTGATTTGTGTATTGTCTTTCCGGCCTGGATCGAGCTTGCCGTAGACTTTGTTCAGTTGCAAACCGTGGGCGCCGGCACTTCCAACAGCAACTTCCGTGTCATTCGCGTATTCAGAGTCACCAGGGTGCTTCAAGTGATCCGGTCCGTGAGGCTCGTCCGTTTCATCAGCGCCTTTCGGGAGCTCGTCATCTCGGTGCTTGACACGGTTCGCCAGCTTGTGTGGGCCATGGTTCTTCTCCTTCTTGTGATTTACAGCTTTGGAATCCTATTCACGGACGCGGTCTTGCAGCACATGGATGGAGCAGACGACGGCGCACTCGAGAATCTCGAAAAGCTTCAACACTATTTTGGTGGAGTCTATGACTCTTCCACAACTCTGTTTAGGACACTCTTGGCAGGTTTTGATTGGATCGATGCGGCGGATGCGCTCATGCCATTGGGCGTGGTGTGGGTTCAGCTGTTTCATATCTACGTGGCTTTTGGTGATTTTGCATTGTTGAACGTAATCACCGGTGTATTCGTGAACTCTGCCATAAAGACCAGGGAGCGAGATCATGAGACACTCATGCATCATGTGCATGCGTTCAAAAAGCTTGTGGAAACTCTCTGGAGAAAGCTCGACACAACAGGGCTTGGGCAGATCACCATTACCGAATTCGAGCAGATGTTTCAAGACGAAGATATGGTGGCCTTCTTTGCGGCCATTGAAGTTAGTGCAGTTGATGCCTGGACTCTCTTTGACAGCCTTGATGCAGACGGAGATCACCTGATCAGCTACGAGGAGTTTGCTGAGAGGTGTCTGCAGCTGCATGGCGCAGCAAGGTCTGTAGATTTGTTCGCGCTCAAGCAGCAAGCGGACAAACTCGAGGACAAGTTGGATAAAATGTTCAAATCGCAGGTTCGCACAAACTCCCACATTGTGTCCCTGTCCAACAGCATGGCGGGGCAAACCCGGCAAGATGCAAGCGAAGAGTTCCGGTCTTGCGGGTGGAGAGCTGGTGGAGACCTGGTCGCGATAAGTACGTAGAGTACCTGTACCAGAGTCGCAGAGTCGTAGCTACATGAGCTACGCCATGTCTCACGAATCCCCTGGACGATGGTTGCCAAAGGCACGTCATCACATGTAGGGTTTGATGTTTCGGCGCTGTAGGGCCCGTGCGGAGGCTGCAGATTTCGGTCCTTCATGTTGCGCAGTAGCCGAAGGAATTGTAAGTAGGGCGGATTGTAGTGCCAGCTTCAACACTGGCAAGCGTCGACCCGACTCCTTGCCTGCTTCCGCATGAAACTTAGAGGTGGGAGAAAAACGGTGCGAGACTGGCATCTCAAGACGCTGCATGTCAAAGTGCAGCAGCTGGTGAAGCAGAGTTGTTGCAAATTCCAAGCACAGTGTCACGACCTCCGGAAAAGGTAGTAAGCCTTTTTGTCCAGTAGACCTTGTTATCTAGACAGTCCATTGTGGGCTTCACAGACTTCAGACCAGAGCCACTTCGTTAAGCTTGGAAGTCTCTGGCCATTCTGGGCGGGCTTGGCTGCTGCAGTTGCGTAAGATACGGTGGGTTGCTTTGTCAATTCTCTCCCTTGCTCGCTCACGAGGCTCCTGAGAAGTTCTCGAACGTCCCACATCAACATTCGCTGAGGACGAGGTCGAGTGAGAGCGTTAGATCTTTGGTTTGAACATCAGGGCCATGACGTGTTAGTCCATTTGCTTCATTCGACTGCTTCATACGTGCTTCATTGGTCTTGGACGTTTTCAATTGCGGGTGACAGAATCCAAGTCTCTGTTGATGCTCAGCATGCACCTCACCGTTAGGAGTCTGGTGAGACTTCCTGGTGCGATGAGAAGAAAAGTCGCACGCTTCGTAGCTGCATGCCTGTAGCGTTGGCTGTGCCCCGTGGGCTGATGATCCGTTGACTCCAGCATCCCGAGGCTCCTCAAAACCTCGACCCACCTGCCTTGTGCATGTCGGCTGCTGGCGTTGGCCGACATGGCCTGAGATGATTTTTTTTTGACTTTGAAGCGCTGAGATCACAAGCACATGTAAAGATCGGTGAGAAGTAAGTACATTGGGTCTCGTAGCGTGGCCTGAGATGAGCGTATGGCAAACCGATCTGCAGTACTCGTGTGGACGCGTGGGTGTGCTGTGGGCAATGGTTCCATGTGATTTTGGGTTAGGTCGACAAGACTATGGTCGACTCATGACACCACTTGAGTCACTTGAGATTTCCCTTCGCCATATGGAAGAAACCGAAAGCTGACGCCCAGGCGAAGCTTGCCCTGCTTGCGGAGCATGCGCCCCAGCACAGGTGCGCAACACGCAACACGGCGCCGCAGAAGATGAGGATACCCTGGTACGTGGCCGGCGGAGCAAGGGCAGAGGCCTTCAGATCTTTGAGAATCTTTGAGAGGCTTTAGCATCTTTAGCAGCTCAGCTTGAGCAGCTCTAGCAGCCTTAGCACTGCCCCGAAACTGCAGTGCACTCGATTTTTTATCTGTGGAGATGGCCACCACTTAGAGGACAATTGTATGTCTGTGATTTGTTGCGATGCACGGGGTGGCATAGCAGCCATGAAGGCAACGGGTGCCGAACGACCTTGAGGCTCAAAAGCTCCCGCTGTCCAAAGAGCTGACAGGCGGTGAGCAGAAATAGCGCACGAAGGCCAACTTGATTCTCAGTTCTTACCGCTGACGGCCTGCACATGCGAGCTAGCATAGCTGAGCTAGCATAGCTAGCCGTAAGCTCGCGCCAGCCCGGATTGAACCTAAGGCAATAAACCTGTTATTCCCAGTCCTCTCGTTGTGAGCCATGGAGATTCCGCAGCGAGCGGAGCTCCTGGAATTTGCCCAGCGGAGGTCTTCCGAAGTCTTGATACTGGGCGTTTTTCTGCTAGCCCGCTGCTTAGACTTACCCACAACTACCCACATCAAGCAGACCAAGGCCATTCCTTCCATTGTCAGGCAATGGGGCTACTGAACATTCAAGTCTAGTCTTGCCCCGAGGTAATGACTTTCCCCAAGGATCTGGTCGGCACCGTGCAGCTCATTTCTTGTTTGGTGCTGCTTGTTGTTGGAAATCCATGGCACTGGACGGGCGACGTGTTCTCTGCCAGTGCAGGCGCGCCCTCAATTGTTGATAGGCGTGGAGCTCCACCCAGATCTATAAGCAGAAGCTGTATGGCCGACGGAGACATCACTGGAACGCCTGAAGGTTCAGTAGCAGGTAGCCTTCTTTCAGAACTGGCTAACAACGGTCACCCATCTGCTGAACTTCCCTCTCAAAGAACAAGCAGAAGCACACTGCCACTGCTCGTCATCCTCCTGCCTACTTGCAACTTACGCTCCCCCCCCCCTTCCACTTCATGAATGCACAACCTCATTTGGGGCAGCTGGCGCTTCTGCTTAAGCTTAGACACAAAAATTCTGCACACCTAAACAGACCTTCCACAAGCACGAATTCACAACTCTGCTCTGCTCCCGTGTGGCATCGAGTTTGTCCATGCGGGCAGCCGTGAGTGAGCTGAGCCGTTTTATGACCTCAACATACCTCAACAGTCTGTCGAGCACCATGTTTTCGATTCCACCGAAATGCTGGCAAGTGCTTTGTGCGCAGCTGACTAAACCAATAGCACGTATGTCTGTTTCCTCCAAGCGAAGTTGGGCACGTCTCGGGTTTTTTCGCTTTGAGAAAAACGCTTTGGCTGCTTCCGGCCCCGAGACCTCCATCCTTTTGGTTTGTAGGCAATGTGCAAAGCACGAAGTTCACATGGCCTCTGATAAGTGCTCGGAAAGCTGTTCGCTCAGCAACGCACCTGCAGAAGCTGGTGCCAAAACTCTGCCTCAGCCTTGCCACATTAATCAGCAAGTCCAGGAGAATAGCCGCCAACGCAAGCCTTAAGCCTTTGTGGCATTGTAGCTGTCATCTTCTCCCCAAGGCCCCCCAACCCCCAGAGTAGCAACATTCAGGAAACAGAGGCCACATTCACCGGGAAAATCTCGGAAACACCCGAGGGGCAGTCAGCAAACAGCACGGAGCAGCAGGAAACAGGAAATACCGAAGCATTAGAGTTTAGGGTCTCGGGTTCAGGGTTTAGGGTTCAGGATGTTTCCTGAATGTGGCGGGGCTGCTTCCTGACTGCGTCTGTACTGTTTCCTGAAATCCAGCTGTGCGGTTTCCGACTTTGTTTCATGCCTGCGTGGCCCGCACCCTCGTGTGCCGCAAAGTGCCAGGCTTGGCCTTGGTGGCTCAGCTTTTCGCCCACCTGGACTTAATCCGGTGGCCGCCTGATGAGGACCCCCATATGATACCCCTTACTTGCGTGAGTGCTCATGAGTCCGGAACAAGAGGCCGAGCCGCGTGTGAGGGAAAGTGCCAGAAAGTACCGGAGAATCGGATCTCTCTCCCGCCATTTCAAAGCCTCGACAGGAGGAGGCCAAGGTCTACTGGGGCTTGGCCAAGGACTTGGGAGTTGACTCCTGGCAGCATCTGGCGCTCGGGGAGGGGCGAAGGGAGGTGGACGTGGTGGAGCGGTGGAACCTGCAGAGGATTGCAGAGGGAACCTGCAGAGCAACATGGGAAAACAAGCCCGTTTATAAGCTTTCTTGCTCAGGTTTGTCGACAGCTCTTCATCCTCATCTTGGCCAAGATCTACACCATTCTGCAATTCCACGCTGCGGCCGCAAAGGATGACTACGCGAGGGCGCGAGCAACCCGGGTCCTTGCAACAGCGCTGACCATCGACTTGGGATCCTTGGAAGGCTCTTTGCTTGCTCTTAGAGTCCATGGTGCTTCCATGGTGCTTGTATCATCTTTTATCTGTCCATGGACATTTTGTTGCCTGCACAGCAGACCACATCTGGTCGAGACTAGGCGTCTAAGTTGTTCCACGATTCTTTCAACCGCAGCCGTGCTTCAATTTAGCGGCAATTCCACTCAAGCTTACAGTGACTCAAGCCCATCTGTTCCTTGGACATCCTTGCGAGTCATGATCACAATTGAGCACGACTGGGCACTTTGGGGAAAGGCGGCCGCGCAGTCTCCCAGCGACCGTCGGAGAGTGGCCTGGCAAGGGCAACACTACATGACATGCGCATAGGACATTTCCGTCAATTTTGTTCTTTGCTGCATTTCGCTGCGGTCTCTACAGTTGTTGAAGAGCCATCAGAGATTGAATCGTTGTTTTGGGGAATGCTGGAAACACAAGGTTTTTGCGTGACCGAGGTTTTTCGCGTTCTCTGTTTCTTTTTTGAGAGGCTGCCCGCACGGACGCCCGCGCCTACACCCACGCCCACGCCCGCACGCATGCATGCATGCACGCACGCATGCGCAGACACAGAGACACAGAGACATGAATACATGGAGACACAGACACAAAGAAACAAACGCACGCACGCGCGCATGCGCACACACACGCACACGCACGCACGCACACGCACAGAGACACACGCACAGAGACACACGCACAGAGACACACGCACAGAGACGCATGCACACACAGAGCCACACACACACACTTAATTACTTACGTACCTACTTACTTACTTACTTACTTACTTACTTACTTACACACACACACACTTACTTGTGCACGCTTGACAACAGGTCAGTCTCGAAGGACTGTGCGTCATGCTTTCACACTCCATCACTGGAGACTCAAGCAGTCTAAAGTTCATTGAGCACTTCAGTAGGCCGCTAATCCGCAGCATAGTCTGATTGAACTGGTGCAGGGCGAAGCGTCAGCGATTCCAAAGTTGTTCTGGAGGGGCTTGCAAGCTGATGAGGGGGTTTGGGTGTGGATGTTGCAAAATTTATGGCCATCAGCGACCCTGGGTCTCTGACAGGCTTGTAAGGCTAACCTGTCAGGCTGGCATGAGCAACCTCACAACGGTCACTCGAAAGTTGGTTACACAATCAAACCAGTTGCGACCCCAAGCGGCAACTGAGGATCACTGCCCTAAAGACAACAAGAAGCGCGACTTTTGTAGGCATCTACTATCGCGGAACCCGAAAATGCTTTTGGCAATGGGCTCTTTTTGTGCTGCAGTCGACCGGGTTCATACGTGCTGTGGTTTCTTGTTTGTTTGTCAGCCAGAAGCATCTGGCTCTGTTCCCAGGTGTTCGTGCAATTGCTCATAGTGCGACATAAGAACAGGTTAATGGGTTGGACCTGATGTATAGTTTCAATCTGGTGGGCTTTGGCAGTTTGTTGAATTTCTCTTGGCCCCCAGGCGAAGATCTCCCAGAAGCATGGCAGGATGCCTTGAGGCGCGCACACACTCTGCGCTTCGTTGCCGGCAGCCACGGAACGATGGCTGCAAGGGTGTCGAGTTGCACCCCAGCTGTTCTTCCAGTCGAAGAGTCTTGTGCTGCAGGTCACAGCTGGACCCCGTGACAGAGCTGAAAATGCTACTGCTGGCAGCACCGCAGCTGGCTGCGATTGCCATCGTGTTTGTTGCCACAGTAGAGCAAACAGTTTGGTGCTGCTCTTTTGCACATGGAAAGGCATTTGAGCCTTTGGCTGTTTAAGACTGTGAACGTAGGCCAGGAAACACTTGCCGCATAGGCAGAAACGCAGCTCAACGTGGCTAAACCTATGTATGGTGGGTAGCTTGGGATACCTTGGGATGTTCCCCCTTATACTAACAGTCCTTCCGAAGGATTATAATAGGGGGTACTATAACCCACCCCTATCAAAGACAGGGGGAACATCCCAATGGGTAGCCCACGCACCCATGCAAGGTTTGCTGCCTTTGTTCTGCGTGGCTGCTTTCTACTTGAGCGGTGATTTGGTTTACCCACCAACAGAAGCCAGATTGTCTGATCGGGCCAAGCTATGGATGAAGGCGTGGCATAAAATTGCTTTCAGACATCGAAGAAGTAGGACACGATACAGAGTGAATGCAGGTGATGTCAGCTGGCCTCTTCTTAAGCTTGCTCTGTGAAGTTTGCATTGAACTTTGGCTACCTCCTGGAATGGGAAGTCCGAAGCCCGGGCCGGAAACCATCGCAGGGTGGAGTGCCTGCCAGAATTATGATCCCTGGGAGCCAGACTTAGCCCGGGATTTGGAAGGCAAGCCGTGCATACCCGGCACTCCTGCCCCTTGTTTGAGCATTGAGGAAAATCCTGTGCCCAACCACGTGCTAGACTGTGCTAGACTGTGCTAGACGTTGTTGAGACTTTCATCTCGGATGTTTCGGGCTGAATGTTCAGGCATGTATGACACAGCGGGAGCGTTGCGGAAGAGACTTCGTGAACTGGCTTTGCATTGATCATGGCCTGTCCGTCCCCTCTTTCTTGATCCTGTTCGCTTTATGTTGGGTGCTGCGAGCAGAGCAGCAGTGGACAACATCGCCGCCCCGCCCCCAAAGACCACAGTTTGCG